GTGTGTGTGTGTGTGTGTGTGTGTGTGTGTGTGTGTGTGCGTATGTGTGTGACTTCCTGATCACAACATCCTTGGTCATAAGGAGAGTAATCTCCCCCACACCCAATATATGGTTCAATTCCTGTATTGGTTCACCATGCACAACACAGTAAATTACTTTAGTAAATAAATTACTAAAATGTGTTTTACAGATAAAAGGAAGCCTCAGATCATTGGAAATACAACCGTTAAACTGGGAGATGTTCTTAATCTGACCTGCAGTGTCGAAAGCTTCCCTCCAGCTCTTATAGTCTGGAGAAGTACCAACACAAACCTTCTGACTAAAACTGATCTGCACAATGATACTGGATCAGCTACACTTGTCATTCAGAATGTGACAGCAGAACATTCTGGACAGTACATCTGTGCAACCAAACATCTGCACACAACTGTGACTTCATATGTCAACGTGACTGTGACATGTAAGTAGACGGCACTGATCTTAAATCTGAATGTCATCCTTACACTAAAATCAATGCTTCACTTGTTTAATGATCCTAAACATGCGTTTACAGGGTTTTCAAAAATAGTGAATGGCTCTGGATGTGTGCTTCAGTCAGAGGTTTTGACCTGTGTGTGTATCAGTGAAGGGTTTCCTTTACCTACTGTCAAATGGCCATTTCTGAAGAACAGCACTGATTACTCTGTCTTTACCACTGTGTCAAACCACACAGTAAACAGCACAGTCAGTTTAACTGTGAAAAACAATGGCAGCACTACTTTAGAATGTGTCAGCAACAATGGAATGGGGGAAGCAGAAGAAAGTCTCACAATCCAAAAAAACTTGCCAGACAATAATAGTAAGTATTTCCAACCAAACATTTTTGAGCACCAATTTAACCTCTTAGGACCACACTTGTTAATGCAATCTTTGTAAAAAGACAATCTTCAAACACACATTTGCAGTATGCATTTTAAGCAACATGGAACCAACTTTATTCCTTTTTAAATTCACTTCAATTCACAGTTTTTAGGCTGGAATACCTGAACGTCATCATTGTCTTGTTCACTGGGACAATTCTTGCAACAATCATTTGCTTTTTAGCTAAAAATTGCTACAGGTAAGGCTACAGGTGTCTAATTATTATTAGGTTTTCTCTGTAGAGGAATTTGAACATGAATTTGTCTCTCTGTCTTTTTCTTCAGTAAAAAACTGAACATTCAAAAATTGAGAACTTCAGATGAGATTTTGGAGATGGAGACACATCAAAATAAACTGGTATTAATTCATCAGACATTTTTTGATTTACTTGTAAAAATAGGAGTTTCTGCACAAATTTTGATGTCTTTGAAGCATCCATAGTTTACTTGTTTACATTTTACTGAAAGTTCCCACATAAAGGTTCTGCAAGAAAGTGGTTCAGATTAAGATTAGCCTTAATGACAAGATTATTTTGATTTTGTATACAGTGGTGTGAAAAAGTGGTTGCCCCAGTTTCCTATTTTATTTGTATGTTTGTCACAGTTAAATATTTCAGATCATAAAATAACTTTAGATATTAGACAAAGAAAAAAAGTCAACACAAAAGGCAGTTTAGTTAGGCCACTCCTAAGTCTTCAGTTTGTTTTTCCTAAGCCATTCAGAGGTGGACTTGCTGGTGTGTTTTGGATCACTGGCAAAATATTTTTTTTCCCCTTTATGCTCATTTACTCAACACTGGTTTTCACCTTGGAACTCTCTCATGGATGCCATTTTTGCCCAGTCTCTTGTTTATGGTTGCATCACTGAACTTAACTGAGGCAAGTGAGGCCTGCAGTTCTTTGGATATTGTTCTGGGGTCTTTAATGACCTCTTGGATGAGTTTTCACAATTTAGTTTTTAGGGCAATTTTGGTCAGCCGGCCACTCCAGATCACCACTATACCATGTTTTTGCCATTTGTGGATAATGCCTCTCACTGAGGTTTGCATGGATTCCCACAGATTTAGAAATGTCTTTATAACCTTTTCCAGACTGACACATCTCAATTACATTGTTTCTTAACTGTTGCTGAATTTCCCTGTATTGCAATATGAGGCCTACTCAACTTTGTCATGCAGGTCCTATTTACAGTAAGTAATTTCTTGATTGAAAATGGGTCAGGCCAGAAATTTAACTCAGCTTTCAAAAGATGAGATACACACCACCATAACTTTTTCATAAAGGACCAAGTAGCTTTGGATTTTTTCCCTCTTAATAATGTATACTGTCATTTAGAAAATACATTTTGTATTCAGTTGTGTTATCTTTGTCTAATATTTAAATTTGTTTGATTATCTGAAACATTTAATTGTAACAAACACTTTTTCACACCACTGTGTGCACTTTAAAGTGGATATGAAACACCACATGTATAAAGGTTAATTTAAATCATGGAATCCTGCTCTCAAAAACTGACATAGATGTGACACTGTCTGCGAAGCTGGACTTTTTTAAAAGTTAAAGATAATAGAACTTGTTTAGCACAGTCTTGTGTCAGTAGAGAAAGTGATATGACTGGCTAGTTGGTATGTTTTGGTCAGTAGCCTTACATTAGTTTATGTTAACTAACTAATAACAAAAAAAAAACAACATTGTGGAAAGTAAGGACTCTAAAACTAAAAAGTTGTTTAAGGGGGTCATCTTTATACTGTCCCTGGCTGCAACAATGAATTTTATCATAAGAAACCAAGGATCCAATGTCCACTTTCACTGGAATTGAAGTGTAAATCTATGCAATATTAATTTCATGCATAAAGGGACACCATGAGTTTTAGCTGAGAGCATGTAGTGTTTCAAATCCTTGTCATGTCTTCTTTAACAGGTTTTTTTAAGTACATTGTAGCGATTGCAATAAATTAAGCTTCAGTTCTTTCATCAAGCTGATTGTCAGGGCATAAAAAGAAAAATAACCCAGAATGAAAGAATGTAAATGTACAAGACAAGATGAGTCTCTTTTCCTTTGTCTTTAACAGGTATATAATGGTCAAGCATTACAAGACAATCAGACCCTGAGCTCAAACAGTGGGCCAAAGGAAGTGGAGTATGCCAATATTAATTTTTCCCTGCTGAAAAGAAACAGTGACTGGGTGGCAGCAAGGAAGCAAGAGAGCACAAAGACAGACTATGCTGAAATTAAGAAAGTGGTCGAAGAACAATGGGAAGATGATGCTGGGGAGGAAGGAGACATATTGGAGGGACAAGAGAAGAATGTGATAATGGAGCTGAAACAATGTGAACCAGAAAGGGTAGAAGGGCGAGATGAGGCAGTGAATGAAATGTGAAGGATATAACCAATGGAATTTGGGTAATGTTTTGTTATGGAGTTAATTAAAACCATTATTAAGCTATCAGAGTGTCCATTTAGGAGCCCAAGATGGAACCACCTCAGTGATTAATGCTCTCAGATTGGTTTTTGATGCTTTGATTGAGAAGGATAAATATATTGGCATATCGGTCATCCAAAAATATACTTCTTAAAGCCAATTGTAGTTCCCATTTTGAGCAAATATTTATCAACTGAAATTTTAAGGAAAAGGACAGGTCAGCCTCTCGCTCTCTCAGCTGTTTATCACATTCTAATAATATTAACTATTTGAATTGAGCAAAAGAGAGACAGCATAAATTAAAAGGCATTTAGAATAATGAGTGGGAAGACAAAGACAATATGTTAAAGCTAATATATATTAAAGCTAAGTTTAAATGTCTTTCTTGAAACAATCAAAACTTACCAGAAAAATATAAGCTACCTATTGCATTTAATTAATGATATTTGATTAACTTCATTGTTTTCACTCTTTGATTTATTATAAATTATTTTTCCCCTCTGGCCATTTCTTACACACACTATTTGCAGGCAGAGTAAGCCACATGGCCACCAAGTAAACATGAAACATCCTGGGCATAATATTTGTTAGGCCCCAGTTAACTTTTTATCATGGTCTGATTTTTTTTTTCTTTGATAATTAGGTGTATCATACAGAAATATGCAAATTATATACATTTATATAGAATTATTGTATCTAGAGAACACTTTACCTTACTGAAACAATGAAAGGTAATATTTACAATACATAGTTTCACTAAGATCTTTAAAGTGTCTGATATGAAATTAGAAAAAATGAAACAAGTGTCTGTTGATAGCACATGTGTTTTTCTTTGATTCATTTGTTAAACTCATTTCTTTCCAGGATATTTTTGTGGTTGTTTTTTGTTTGATTGATATAGGAACATATCTTTTTCAGTTAAATCATTTTGTAATAAAGCTGAAAAAAAAAAAATAACAAATCTTCTCTGTTTGTTTTCTTTCTTTCTTCTGGACTTATCCCTCATCTATTAGCCATTTTCAAAACTAAGAACCAGACAGGCACTTATTGCCAAATGTTGCAACCATAATAATTAACTCTGCAAATCTCCAGAGATCAATCTGGCTGTTTAGTATTCGCTGGGACTGCTGAGTCAGAGACTAGAATTAAAAACTAAAAATTAGGTGTAGATACATAAAAATCTGAGCTTTCCAATGACTGAACAATGGATCTGGTCAGCCAACTAATAAAGCAGTAAAATTTTTGTTAGGGCTTCCTCACCCACCCTGTTGAGCCATGACTTATACAGCAGCATCAAGGGCACATCCAGGTAACCTTATTAATTTCCATTTTCATGTGCGACCTAGCACAGCTAATATGGAGGCACAATTAGCAGCGCTTAGCTGGGACCTGGCAAGATTGGCCCAAGGCTAGTCTGGGTTCTTGCTTCTCCAGCACTTCTGTGTAGCTGCCAATGACGACCCACATCCATCGGTCTCTAGAGCAATGTCTTCTGGTGACCTCACATTGTTGGATGATGTTATTGCACATTTCATGGATACTGAAGCGTTTTTCAGAGCAATGTGTGTCCAGCAGAGGGCAGTGTTTAACTAATGACATAAATATTTAGCTATTTATTTTCAAGTCAGATTGTATTATGTGCTGGTATCCACATTTTTTGTTTGTTTTTATAATTCTAATTGTAGTATTTTTGTGATTTTCTAAAGTGTGCAGTAACAGAGAGAAATTGTACTACAGTGTCTCTTACTTCTAGCTGGACAGTATTTTATTCAGGCAGCACCACACCACTTTTAAGACAATCTGGGCAACAGCATAATTCACTAACACTTATATTTGAGGTTTTCCTCACTTATAATACAACATGCACATCAGTCAGATATGCATGTTTCTTGGCTTTTTAAGGTTGTGAAGTGATTTCTCAACCATTCTGCTGTGCTGAAACTGATTCACAGCTTAACAAATTAATTTATTCTACTTTGCCTTAAAGTTTAAGTTTAGTTTAGTTTCAGTGGTGTTGGATTTTCAGTGGCTCTTGTGTCTTTTAAAACACATCCTGCATTTCTGAAATGAAACGAATGTATGTATCTAATAGAGTATAGCACGAGTGTAGAGTGTAGAAATTTCACTTCCCCTGGTAATATTGCAAATGGTGAAAGCCAATGCAAACCTTAACCTGATGTTTGGAGTGAATTGTTTCTTTCAGTTTGAACCCAAATATTGCCTCTAAATCACAAATTAAGGTGAACAGTGTACTGTGTACATTACAGTGTACAACAGTGGGAATTGTTGACATGCAAATATTTAAGTTAGTGACCAGTTACAACATGATTTTGCTCTCTGTTGCGTCATTAGTAAACACACTGGTTGGCAGTGATAGTCTGACCTTTATGTTAGAAGAGGAAGTACTTAGTGAGTACAGTGATGCCATATAAGGTTATGTTTAAGTGATCACAGTGATAGAGGGAACAAGTATTTAAAGCAGGTTCATATTTATAAAAGGTGACATGTTTTCTCTCTGTGGTATGTTTTCTCCTATTGAATTACCATAAAAACATTTTTTTATAAATATACAGTGCCAAATCACAATAACGGTTTTCTCAAGGCACTTTATATTGTAAGGTAAAACCCTACACTATTACATAAAAAGCCCCAATGATCAGATGACCCCCTGTGAGGAAGTACTTGGTGACAGTGGGATGGAAAAAAAATCCTGTTTAACACCAAGAAATTCTCAGAATCTCATCATCATCATCATTATGATGTAGACGAGTATATATTGTTTTTTTTTTTTTGTTTGTTTTATTATGTCTGAAATAAATAAAGATACAAATAAATAAAGATACAAATTATCACCTTTATTTATAAAACACTTTAAAACAACCAAACAGGCCAGCATAGAGGTTATATGGTCTCTTTTTCAAGTTCCTGTTAGCAGTTGTGCAGCGGTATTTTGAACCAGCAACTGAATGACCCCCACATAAAGTTACAGTAGTCCAGATGGGAAGAAATAAAAGCATGGATCACTATTTCGAGGTACTGCCCAGAAAGAAAAGATTTCACTCTTGCCAGTCGCCTTAAATGATAAAAACTGGACTTCACCAGCTCTAATTTGGCTGTCCAATTTAAAACAGTAATAACAGGTTTAAATAAATAAAATAAACTTCCAAGGGTCCCATATCAATAAAGGAGGACTCACAGGGACCACTGAGTCCAAACACTAACACCTCTGTTTTCTTTTCATTAAAATTGAAAAAGTTTAAAGCCAGCCATGCTTTAATGTCATCTAGAGGTTTTATGGTGATGACATCCTTCTGCTTTAGTGACAAATAAATTTGGCAGTCATTGGCATGACAATGAAATGTGATCCCATGCCTTCTAAGGATGGAAAAATAAATATAATAAAAACAGCAGTGGCCCTAAAATTGAGCCCTGTGGGACAACACATGTCAGAGAAGCAGAAGATGATTCAGAACCAAGAAGGCATCAATTAGGAGCAACTTCCTGGTAGCAGAATAAATAGCAATAAACAATTAAATGTGTGTGTGTGTGTGTGTGTGTGTGTGTGTGTGTGTGCATTGTATGTGTGTGAGAGGTGCTGACGTGTTGGGGTAGGGTGAGTGTGTGTGTGTTCTGTAGTGTGGTTGCGAAACAGTTTGCTAGTCTGCTAGTCCTGATTTGGATGCACCTGTCGTGTCTACCTGAGGGCAGCAAGTACAACAGGTGGGCTGCAGGATGGGTGGAGTCTCTTGTGATCTCCTCAGCTCTGAGGCAGTGGGATGTATAGATGTGAAACAGGGGAGGGGGCAGTCGATCTTCTACGCTGTGTTGACCACTGTGGAGTCTCTTCTTTTTAGTCTGGGTACAGCGTGTTTGTGAACCATGCCTAAGTAAATTAATCAATGGTATTTTATCAGCTTTATCAGCTCCCTTTTATCTCAGGGCACACTAAAGCAGATTGATCAGTATATTTGGTGCAGCCTCCTCCGTATATATGAGCTCAGAACAGGCTGTGCAGGTGATCTGGGAAACTTTTGCATACAAAGATGTATTAATAAGTTTTCCTGAAAAGGCTTGGTATAAAATGTTTACATTTACATTTTTGAAGTATATGCTTCTGAACAGCAGTTGAGCAATGTGATAAAACTACTTGAAACTGACCACAAAGACAGAGGAAGTACATTAGAGGTACTTAAGAAAGAGGAAGTGTTAGTTGAAAGCAGAGACACTCTATAACAAGACACAAGGATGCCCACACAAACACGCATCAACACGGAAACACTGAGAGAGAAGCAGAGGACAGAGACACTAGGGAACCTAATAAACAAGAATCTAAACAGGGAATAGAAGAAACTCAAAACCGACTAACTTCGAACTACTAATGAACCTAAAACTTAAACCATTATACAAAATATCACTAAAACTCAAAAAGCTGGGTCAAAAGGATCCAGAACCATGACACATATATCATCACCCATGAGCTAACTTCCCAGCTGGTCAGAGGTTTCTGTGCTGATATGCTTTTTGAGTCAGAGTAAGTTGTTTGGCCTTGGTGGAGAAGATTTGGCAAGTTTTTCATAGATACAATCTATACACTCAACTCTGCTACTCAGCATACAAATGTGTGGGGAACAAAACAAAACAGGCTTTCTGACTATATAAAATTTCCTGCCAAAAAGGATTGTTACAAGAAAGAAATAACCGACCAAACACAAATATTCTCATTTTTTTGTACCCAAATTTACGTGGCTGATAAACACAAATACACAGCTCACTTACACACGGTTATCATAATACCATAACCCAGTACAACTTGTAAAAGGTGCTAAATAATACCTAAGAAACATGAAATACAAAAGCCAAAACCATAACAAAGAATCAAAACAAAGAGTAAACAAAACCTAACCACTGAGGCACCTGATACACACACACAAAACTGTTACACTGATCTTTGTTTAAATGGTTAAGAATAATTTTCACAAATACAAAGTACCCACCAATGCATTAATATAGCAATGTTAAAATATGATTGCACAGCAATTACTAAGAAAAGCAGAAATGCTGCACAATGTAAATGGATACGAATGAAGCTTTAAAGAGCTCTTGCCCTTTAAAGCATTCAATCTGTCTCAAGGAACATTTTTTTACACTGACTACATAAGAAACACTTATAAAGATATAATGATTTTAGATCGGTTGTGTGATGTTGAATGTGATGTAAAGACAAGCTAAACGCAATATACAGATCAAGTTTTCACTCTAATATTGTGGGGTCCTTACTTGACAGTGGAAAGGGCCATGAGGTGAATGATGATGATTTGATGCTATATGTATATATAAAACTTATTGGAGCACCATTACTTGAATATCAAAATCTCAAGATAACAGTATGTTTTAAAAGGGTAAATTATTTAATAAATAATGAACATATAGCGTACAGAAGAACTTGAATGTCAGTCTGTAAAGTTGAGTGGTTTCCTGAAAAACTTCCTGAAATGTTGTTGCAAGAAGGAGGAAGAAGACAAAGAAAAGAGAGACGAGGCGAGAATGAAAAACTTCAGTTTAGAGAGTGAGCAGACATCAATGAGAAGACAAAGTAAAACACAGAAAAATGTGTTAAATGTGCTTAAAAATATCTTTTTAAAAGAATAAATATAAAGACTTCACATCTGTAACAGTGATGGTGAATAAGACCTAATCTGGTCGGCTCTGTTTGTCTCTGTAAAAGGCAGCATTGCTGACACAGGTTTGAATCTTCTGCTTTCCTGTAATTCTGCTATATTTTTATTTGTATTTATTTTAATATTTGCATGTGAGATAGATGAATTCATCATAAATGTGTGTCTTCACTATCATCAGTTGGCTTGTGCGCCATTTTAAATTAATCTTTTGTTATATTGTTAATCATTATCCAGGAATATTTCATAGCCTGGATATAACCATAGTAGTTGTGTAGACTACAGCACAAACAAGTTGCTTGTGTAAAACATAAAAGTTACTCTAACATCTTTAATTAGATATCATGTTTATTGTTGAAAACTAAATAGTTTTTCTCACAATATTTATCTTTCCCTTTGCATTCACAGGTGCCCCAGCCTGGGGACAACAACTACAGAGGTACTGTGTTATTCTCAGTGAGCGAGAACTAACAGCAGAGGCTGGACTCTGTGTATATGTCTCTGTTAAAGGTATGAAAAGCTATTCCAAGGACAATCATGTAGAAAAAAAGATATTCAGTCATGTACAATAACATATTTAGTATTTTTATGGTCTTAATGGAGTATTCATTCTATAAGGGGATTGTTGACTGCTAGAAGTCGGTCATCTTGGATACAACTTTTGTTTTTTCAATAGGAAGAAGGCCATGTGACACATCAAACTTATTGGTAATGTCACAAGAAAAACAATGGTGTGCTTGAAGAAAAAGACTAAATTTTTTATGACATATATAATGTTGGTGATCACAATCCTCTGGGTACAGCTATGTAGACTCACACATACAACAAACTGCTGCACTGATCTTATTTTAAATGGTTAAAAATAATTTTCACAAATACAAGTGCAGAGCAGTGCATTGCTATAACAATATTAAAATGAGTTACATGGCAATACTAAGAGCAGCAGAGATGGTGCAGAATATAAATAAATACATAAGAAGCCTAAATATGCAGAAGTGTTTGCAGAGAGGCAGCAAACACTGAGAATGAGAGAGGGGAAGTTTATTTTAAATTCTTAAGTTCTTTAATGCACTCAATCTGTCTCAAGGAACATTTTTTTAACTGAGTACATAAGAAAACACTTATATAGCAATAAAATGATGTTGTATTGGTGGTATGATGTTGAAGTAATGTAAATGCTGCCAAAATCTTCATCTTGGACTCCATCCACAAACATCTGGAGCTCCCTGACTCCTCCGCCAGACTTCTGTTTGCTGATTTCTCATCAGCGTTCAACACTCTGCAGCCTCATATCCTGGCCACTAAACTTTCCACCCGATTTCACCTGGATGATCAGCTAATCCTGTGGATACTGGACTTTTTGACCAGCAGGACTCAGAAAGTTGGGGTCAACAAGTCTCTTTCCGGTCTCTTTTCCACCTCCACTGGCTCCCCCCAGGGCTGTGTGCTCTCCCCCCTGCTCTTCATCCTCTACACCGATGACTGCAGATCCACACAGCCCAACTGTCACCTGGTTGAATATGCTGACAAAACATTTCTCCTGTCACTGCTGTCAGGCCCCTCACAACACCACAGGCCCACTCTTCAGGAGTTTGTAGAGTGGTGTGACAGCTCCAGACTTGAATTGAACATAGGCAAAACCAAAGAGATGGTGGTGACCTTCTCCAGTAGGCCGAGGGATCTGGCTGCTTCAGTCACCACCACCATCCACGGGAAGCCAGTGGAGGTATTGAGGAGTGCAAATACCTGGGAACCATCTTCAAAAACCTCCTGAAATTCTCTGCCAACATGCTATACCTCCTTAGGAAACTCAACTCCTTTGGAGTCAGCACACCCATCATGATGACTTTTTACTATGCCTTCCTGGAAAGCATCATGACCTTCTCCATCACCTGCTGGTTCCACTTCCTCAGCCTTCAGAACAGGAACAGACTGCAGCACACTCCATCAGTGTGCTCTAAAATCATTGCCTGTCAGAACTCTGGCACAGGTTTTCAGCCAACAGGCCCTTAGACAGGCAGCCAAAATCATCAACGACCCCTCTCACATTCTTCACCCAGCATCTCAATGGCTCCTGCAGGACTGAGAGATGGAGAGCCACCTTTGTCCTCAAAGCCACTCTGCTTTTTAACTCCAGCCGGTAAAAACATTTCCCACACCAGAAACATAAACTAAATTCTTCTTACACTACTGACACTTTATTCACTTTTAGTCACTTGCGGTTATTTATTCACCTTCAGTCACTTTAATTTTAAAACTGTGTAATTTTAAAACTGTATATTCTGTATATTCTGTGTATTTATTATTTGTCTTCTATTGCCTGTTCTTATTGTCCTTATCTTCCACGTATGCTGCTCAGTTGTTTGTTAATTGCCCCTTGGAGATAAATAAAGTCTTCTGATCCCGATTCTGATTCTGATATGAAAATATAAAACTTGTTGGAGCATCATTATTGGAATGTTAAAATAAGATACCATTATGTTTTAAAAAGGTAAATTATTTAATAAACAATGTTATAATTATATATAGCATACAGAGGAACTTGAACGTCAGTCTGTAAAGTTGAGTGGTTTACTGAGAAACTTCCTGAAATCATTTTGCAAGAAGGAGGAAGAAAAAGAAAAGAGCGATGAGGATGAAAAACTTCAGTTTAGAGAGTCACCAGACATCAGTGAGAAGAGAAGTTTTGAAGAATAAAGTAAAACAGGTAAAAATAAAATTGAATGTGGCTCAAAAAATCTTTTTAAAAGAAGAAATGTAAAGATTTTTCACATCTGTAGCAGTGATGGTGAGTAAGACCATTATTTATTAATCAAATATTACAAGGCTGTCCTCTTATTTGGCAGTTAATATACATTTATATTCTATTATATATATTATACATCTTTCTTTTCATGTGTGATGTGAACTGTTGGCTTTTTCTTTATTTCAATTTTTGTTTTGATTTCTTTTTTGCTTCATCTGCTGGATAAGTTATTCTGTGGAGGGAGAGACTGAACGTCTCGAGCAACGAACATGTTTGTTCTCATCTGGTCGGCTCTGTTTGTCTCTGTAAAAGGAAGCATTGCTGAAACGGGTTTGTATCTTGTCCTGTAATTCTGCTATATTTGTATTTGACTTTTTAAAATATTTGCATGTAACACTCTTTTTCTGAAATGTATCCAGATGATAAGAATTTTTTATTACCCACAGTTCATCATAAATTTGTGCCTTTACTATCATCTATTGGCTCGTGTGCCATTTTAATTTAATGTTTTGTTAAACGTGTTCTGAGATATTGTTGATGCACATCCAGGGAGATTCCATAGCCTGGATATAATAAGCTGTGAAATGAGAACATTATAGTAGTTGTGGAGTACAGCACAAACAAGCAGCCAGTGTAAAAGATAAAAGTTACTTCAATATCTTTAATTAGACATCATGTTTATTGTTGTAAAGTAAATATTCTTTATCACTATATTTATCTTTCCCTTTGCATTAACAGGTGCCTCTCCCTTGGTGCAACAACACTGTGGCAAAGGATACTGTCTTAATCTCACTGAGCGAGAACTAACAGCAGAGGCTGGACTCTGTGTTGTGATCCCGTGTTCTTTTACTACTGCTGATGAGTTTACACCCAAACATATAGTTTGGTACAAATGTATAGCTCAACATAGGTGCTGTGAAGCTGACATAATATTTCACAGCAACAAAAACACAGACAAAAAAGCTCAGGCTGAGTTTGAAGGACGAGTCTCACGTTTGGAGCCTGATGTGACTCAAAAAAACTGCAGCATCATCATTAATGATCTGAAAGAGTCTGATTCTGGATCATATCAGTTCAGAGTTACCGGTGAACTGAATGGAAAACAAGATGGATTCACATTCATTCCAAGAGTATCTGTCTCAGTTAAAGGTGAAAAAAGCTATTTCAAGGACAATCATGTTGAAAAAGAAGATATTTGTTCATGTACAATAACATATTTAGTATTTTTAAGGCCTTAATGAAGTGTTCATTATTTTGGGGAATTGTTGACCTCTATGGTAGCTGGTAGGAACTGCAGCAGTTCCTGTTAAAACTTATGATCGCCATTAACCATTTTCATTAAATATCTTATTTGAAAAAACAGATTGATTTACTAGATGAACTTCAGATAGTTGATGTGTTTCTATAAATGCAATTTATTTTCATTAGGTCTTAATCTGAAGCCCAGAGTAATGATTCCCACACTGACAGAGGGACAGCAGGCCACACTGACCTGCACTGCTCCTGGTCTCTGCTCTGGATCTGTTCCTGAAATCACCTGGACATGGAGAGGAGCAGGAGGGACTGAATCTTACATTACAGGAAACAGCACTAATTTCAAGACTGAGAATCTGGCGGCTTTCACACAAAGACACATCTCAACTTTGACCTTTAACGCTTCATCTGAACACCACAACACCAGTATCACTTGCAAGATCAACTTCACATGTGGAAAAACTACAGAGGAGACTTTGACAGTAAATGTGAAATGTGAGTACTTCGTAACCTGTTGTTATTGTTTATATCTATTTATTTATTTGAAATCTATTGGATGATCAGTAGAGTCTGAAAAGGAAACAACATGATTGTAAAATGTATATTTTTATCTAACAGATAAGAAAGAAATTACAATCAGTGGTGTTACAACCGTTAAGGAGGGAGATGTTCTGAATCTGACCTGCAGTGTTGAAAGTTTCCCTCCATCCGTGATTGTGTGGTCTAAACTTGGTTCTGACACAAACCTGCACAATGACACTGGATCAGCTACACTTGTCATCCATAATGTAACATCAGAACATTCAGGACAGTACATCTGTACAGTAAAACATCTGGACACAACTCTGAATTCATATGTTGATGTAACTGTGACTTGTAAGTAGATGGCATGTATTTTTAACCTGAAGTTCATTAACATTATAGCTTGCAGCGTGTCCTGTTTTATGATTCTGACTACATGTTTACAGGGCATACAAAGATACAGAATGGCTCAGGATGTGTGCTTCAGTCTGAGGGTTTGACCTGTGTGTGCATCAGTGAAGGCTTTCCTTTGCCTAACATCACATGGCCTCTGTTGACTCACCACACTGAGTACTCTGTCATTACTAGTGTATCAAACCACACAGTCAACAGCACTGTCAGTCTCACTGTAAAAAACCATGGCAACAGCACTGTTGAATGTGTCAGCAACAATGGAAATGGAGAAGAAAGAGAGAACCTGCTGATTAATAACAACTTGTCCAAAAAAGATGGTAAGTTTTGTTTGGTTGTTGCTGTTGTTTTAAATTAAAACCGTTTCTGTAACACTTTTAACCACTTGACATTTTTACTACCATTTTCTGACCCATGTAATCTATGACCTATGTAATTAAGACAATCATTAGACTAGCCATTAGGTGTGCTGTATATAATTCAATGGCAAATGTGAGTTAACAGGTTTTTCATGTTGTTTCCTTCGAGTGCAGAGCCGTCATCGGGTCTTAGGTGGCGATTTCTGGAAATTATCATTGCATTTTTGATTGGTGCAGTTCTTTCATCAGGTGTTTGCTTTTTGGCCAAAAAGTGTTACAGGTACAGAATTATTTTTGTAGTTATTACTAAGGTTTCTCTGTAGATTCAATTTAACATTCATTTCAACATTGTTTCTGTAAATATGCCCTTTTCTACAGGAAAGAAATGACGAGTTCTGGACATTTGAATGACACTTTTGTGATGCTGACACGTCCAGATGATCCACTGGTATTTATGTTAATTCGTCTGTTTTGATATAACTCTTCAAATAGTTTAAATGAGTTTCAGCACAAATATCTCACATACATATGGTGGAAGTCTCATTGCTGCTGGTAATCCAGTGTCGCCACCTTTACTCTGCTAGGCGGTGTTTAACACAGCCTGGCGATTCTCAGGTGTACTCCAGCGCAATGCAGTAAGGGACAGATGGAGAGAGAAACCATGCAAATAGGATGGTTTGACTTAAAATATGAGACATCTCAACTTTCTGTCACAGTAAAACTTTGATCTTTAATATTCATGATACAAAAAACATATAATAAAATAAATAAACAAATACACAAATGGAAACCAGAATTAAAGTAATGCAAAGTTTCTTTCTTTCCACCCAATGAGAACTCAAACCCTTTGAAGCATGAAAGACTTTAAACAAGATAAATCGATAGTATTCACAATGTTTGGCTGCCTGTAGCTGATAAATGACTGAAACTACTTACTTTGTGCCTAACAGATATATGATGCTCAAGCATTACAAAACAACCAGACCCTGAACTCAAACAGTGGGACAAACGAAGTGAAATATGCCACCATTGATCTTTCCCTGTTAAAAACACACAGCGGCAGAAAGGCAGCAAGGATGCGAGAAAGCACAAAGACGGAGTACGCTGAAATTAAGAAGGTAATAAAAAAAGAACAAGAAGATGATGGTGGAGACGACGGTAAAATGTTGGAGGGGGAGATGAAACATTGTGAAACAGAAAAGAAGGACGAGGAAGATGAGGCAGTGTACTCCACTGTGAATGACATAACAGATGATATTTGAGGAATTCTTATAGTTGCTAAGGATAAATATTGATCTCTTCAGATGTAATGGATGGATGGATGGATGGATGGATGGATGGATTTCCATTTTGTGTTGGAATAACTAACTGTAGGACAATTTTCTCTATACTGTAAACTTCACAAATATTAACAAATCAAATCTTACAGAATGTTAGCTTTGAATATCGTGCTCTGCAGTAGTTTAAGGATTACAAATATTAGAAAAATGTTATGGTTTAGCAAATTTTAGATACCTATACTGCTTTACTATAAAATCTTGCCCAGTGACATTTAGTAGTAGCAGTAAATATAGTGGCTTATCTTTTGCTTGACTCTATTCTTGATGTATTTTGCAGATTTTTAACGGTTTAAGTTTCCATTTGGCAGATGGCCAACACTGACATTGTCTGGTTAAATATATTTGAAAGTGTGTAGCCAAAGTGTGCCAAATAACCTTTGGAATTTTCTTTTTGTGTTTTCACAAAATGCCCTTTTACACGATGTATTGTGTTTTGTATTCCTCCAGAAAAACATGTCATTTTGTTAAGTAAATGCATTTCTTTCCTCTTTTGCATAAGATCATTTATTTTCTTTTTCAGTTTTTATCCGGCACCATCATCAGGTTGACCGAATCATTTGTTCTATACCAATAATCCATTTAAAACTTTTGATATAACTAGCTTCAGTAGTTCTAATGCTAATGACAAAAGTCCCCAAACAATCCCAGAGTATTGATCGATAAAAATGACAATTTTTTTCTATAATTTACTTGGTTTAAAACCTCTTGAGAACAATAGAGTTCAACACTAAATATGTTTTATTGCCACCCCCCACAGGGCGCCTGGGACCCTGATAAGGATTAGTGTAAGAGAATGGATGGATGAATGAATATGTGTATTTTAAGCTTTTTTATGAACATTTTGAAAAATAATGACTATCTGCTTTTAATAAATCCATTAAGTTGATAAAATGTTATATTTAGGAAGTATCATTCATTTCTAATAAATATGACTCAGTCAAAACAGTCTGGCTCAGCTTAAATCTTAGACTGCTTGAGCTCCACAGCTGTTTCACCTTGTCAATATTCAGTTTTTCACAAATGATTAATATTCAGATTATTGCTATGTATATGTATGCGTATATGTATATAGAGTATCCCATAAAAATGGGTTCCTGTTCAGTTATTGCATGCTCTTGTTTTCGTTTATGTTTGTGTAAGATATCAATCACACACATGTGGGAAGGAGAATTCAGTCTAGTTCAGCTGCCAACTATTTGGAGTTGAGAGTAGTTGACTGGTGTAGATTTTGGCCCTTCTCTGTTAAAGGGAGAGAAAGGATGAATTTGGAAGAGAAAGCAGGAAAGTGAGCGGCTGCATGACACAGTTGCAGCTGGTTGCAGCAGCCGACTCCAGTGACAGATAGGGATATTTTAAAGGAAAATGGCTATAACATGGCCCGAATGGTTTTGCTTTTATAATAATTCAATTTGACCAGAAGAAGGATTCAGTTTAATTAGGATTATTGTGGATTTGTTTTGATACAACAGAATAGGAACCTGTTAGTTTGCTGGACCTGTATATTATGGAAGTTTAAGGAGGAAAGCTTACTCTGTAATTAGGAGTTGGCCAACCAGATAACATTCTTCAAGACCTAGAGAGGAAGAGCTTGAGAGTTAAATTCCAAGGATCGGATGTAGAAACACAATCCCTACTAATGCAAGACCTATTAACATGGGGGGAAAGTCTTTCTCTGGAAGATGCAAGAACTACACCTTTAGGCATTTGTCTGCTTCGAAAGAAAAATAAACCTTGTGATGGAATAAACGTGATGAATTTCTATTGGTTCTCTATTGGTCACTGTTAGAACTTCTTCTTTTCTTGTACTGTGGTGTTAGGGAGTTTTTATTGTTTTATTTGATTATGCTTCAAATGTTATGTTA